AATAGAAATTTTATGATTTTGAATCTAATTCAATGAATGATCCTTGTAATGTATGAATAAATAAATATATTGTTTATTATTCTTTATTCAAGAATTTAAAAAGAAAAATATAAGGTTTCATTATTTCTAATCACGTTAAAAAGGTCCCTAATACATTAAGACAATCCCTTTCTCTCTTCAATCAAAACGACGGAACAATATCATTTCTCTAAAATTTTGATATTATCCTTTATTCAAAGAAATCTAAAGAGGAAAAATATTCGTTTATTTTTAATTATGGAGAAAGAATCTTTAATACGATAAGGCATCTTTTTCTCTCATCAATCAAAATGAAGGGATATTAATATTTCTCTTTAATAAAAATTGATATTATCTTAGTGAAATAACAATGGATGAAATTATCTTTTAGATTTATTATACGAACTCTAATTACCTTTGTGGTAAAAGAATTATTGTTATTTTTTTGAAGTCTCGAGTTCGAGTATTGTTAAATGATTGAGAATTATCTTTGAACAGATACTAGCTTGTATTTATCTCAGATTATAAAAAAAACAATTATCTAAGGATATTTTCGTAAGTTTCTACACTCGAGAGCATATTAAACATTTTACAACTTAAGAATAAAGTACTTAATTAACTAACATTATTTCAGAACAGTTTCCTCGCACTATGAACTTTTTAATCATTTACTATGACCAAATTCATTTTGGTCATTTCCTTTACTCGAAGGCAATTTGCTCTTTTACTAAGGCTTAAAGCATAAATACTAAAGTCTTGCAACATTCTCTTGAAGTTATATGTTTTCATTTTCATTGCTAATCATTACTATTCATTACTTGTGACTAAGGACAATTCAAAATTTTTTTTTATTTCTACTGAGATATTTAATTGAGCGTTCAAACATGATATGCAAAATATCATAATTATGAATGGTATGAAATATTTTGGAGTTCGAGGTTCACCCACCTTAATTTCTTGAATTCGAGTAAATATGAGCTCCTAGCCTATTTCTCACGAAGACTGTCGGTCTAATTCACGAACACGGACTCAAATAATTTCCATCAAAATATTAATAACTAATTAATAATTTTAAGGACCAAATTGAAAGTTGACATGACCAATTTAATATCTAATTAATGAACTTAAAGTCTAAATTGAAATAATCGAAACTACTACGCCACAATTGATGGTTAAATTAAAAATTGAATGACCCAAATAAAAGGCAATAAAAATAGGAAAGGTCTTCAGTGTAATTACCTAATTTCTTAAAAATGACACGGATCGTGAACTCGAGTTGAATCGAATGAATGGGTTATACATGAACAAAATTATGTCATTGTAACACCCTAAACTCGTATAAACCTAGAGTGTCACATTAGGTTACGAGGCAACCATTAAAATTTAAAATATTTCCCCCTTTCTTTTTAAAACACAATATATTTATCAAAATAAGACATCCATAATGATTGTAAAATATTTATACAAACAATAACTCCGTGACATATAATTTAAAACCAAAATAATATAAACTTTAAGATTTACAATCCCAATACATGAATAAGGGTTTTATGAATAGAGATGCCTACTAAAAATAACAATACAATACTTCGAAAGAAAATACTGAAAATCCAGCCACAATGGTGTTCCTTGAACAAACACAACGCTAAACTTTACAAAGCTCAATAGAATATTAATAATGTAGTGAATATTGTGATTCTCATAAATATAAGCATGATAGTGTATATGACAACAAGCAGTGAGGACATGCATGATTATAAATCTAAGTGCTACATGCTTTGAGTTCATTCATTATTTCGAGCAACAATGATAATCTCATGCTTTTCCTAGTCCGTAACTAAGAGTCTATCCATGAATATACTTTGGACTTTAGTCTCAACATCATATAAGTTATGCATAAGCACATACATATATATAAACATAGCTCAACACAGTGATAGCGCTTGGTGCTACCATAACAGTTATGTACTAATCATGAATGGGAAACTCAATGTCACACATGCCTCAATAAAATTCTCACAAATTGATACAAATGATTTATCAGTCTTAACATATCTATCAGGTCAATATCATAAAGGGGATTTTAGTATCACGAATGCCTCGATATAATTTCCACTCACAATACATAACATTGACTTAATATCACCGTAATAGTCAAGCCAAATATTATGGATATCCAATAATCATCATTAATACAATCAAAACATGTATAAGTGCTCATAGGCTATATATAACAATCATTGTCTTCCAAAGTCAATCCAGATAGCTCAACTACACACAATTATAGTTCAAAATAATCAGGTGAGGTTATTTCTTCATGCATCACTATATAATGCGTTCTCTCATCTAGAACATTATGCAAGGATAGTTTAGTCTTTTAAAAGCTTATGACACGAGGCATATAACAATATCATTATCCACATAGTATATCTTTACTTAGTACGCTGCTCAATTGATATTGATTATTCGTAAATGAATTATCACTCGCATTCACTTTTATTTTTCCCACAACCTATTAAAAGGCTTGAGACTTGGCTAACATATCATCGTTTCTTCAATATTCACAATTTATGCAACTCATGTAGTGTTTTATTCACATAGTACGTCATTCAAAAAATTAGTATTTATTCTATAACAATTTTTCGTTCACATTCATTTTCAATGTTCGCCCACCTTATAAGTGATTTGGCTCAAGGGGTGATAAACACACTACTGACTTGATAGATGGCTTACGCACCACTAATTTATCATTCTCTTTCAATATGAGTACACCTAAGTGTACTTTTGTAGGTTCTCGTCCGCCAAGGGTATTTTGGTCATTTCATAAATTAAGATCTTTTTTCCAAGCTTGTTTGTACATTTCATAGAATTCTATAGACATTCGGGTGCAACGAGCGATGTTTCTAATATTTTAATGTTGGAGAGTATGGATAATAAACTAGGGAGTATGGATACTCAAACAGAGAGTACAAGTACTTGTGTACCGATACTCACTTATTGGTATCGATAGCGAATGATGGTATCGATACTGAAAAATGCCTCAAAGTTCTCTGGTATCGATACTCAACCCTCAATATTGACACTACATGAATAATATCGATACTCTCAAGAATAATATTGATACTACAAACTTATTTTGCCTAGATTTCTTCATAAATTCATCTAGTATCAATATTGTTAATCAAATATCAATCTATATTTATAAGCTCGAAAATCACTTCAAAATCTCCCAAACACTATAATTTAAGGCCAAATTGATTCTTAAAGTTTAAGGGAGTTAGATATAGTCGTCTAGCACCATAAAAACACATGCTTGACAATCAAATCATAATCTAAGCCATATATCATGCAATTGCATTCAATATGCTTTAAAGCTCAAATCCACACATAAAACATCACACTTAGAAGAGTCATAACATCTCTATGGATTAGAAATACACTACTTGATAATAGAATCTCTGACTTCTTTCTCAGCTACACTTACTCTCTTTTTCACTAAGGCTTTTGGTTGCTTTTCAAGCACTTTCTCACCACCTTTGATCTACGAAACTTGAAGAGAAATGAAGGAAGATGACATCTAATTATATACCTATTGTAATATTGGATATTTTATATTTTTAATGAAATTAATTGCTCATATTTATATAAAAATGATTGACAACTATTATTTTTTGTTTAATCACCGATATTTAATTTATTGATCGAATAATTTGAATCGAGTATTGTAGAGACCCATTATAGAGGCGACTCTCCTAACCCAATTTGCTCAATTCACAACTTTAGGATTCGAACATCTAATCTTATTTAAAAGATCTAGTACCTCATCCCACTAGACTAACTAATTGTTGGTTCGATAATTATAATTATAATTATATTTTAACCTTATATACTTTAATATATCTCAAATCATTTTAATATTTAAATTGCCTACTAATCTAATTATATTTCAACTACTCATTTTTATTCAATTATATATTATACTTTTAATAGTACCAAATTATTTTTATAATTATATTTTATTTATTATTTGTACATTTATAACAAAATACCTTTTTATGGGGAAAATATAAACTGATATTAAGATAAAATGTAATATCTTAAATAAAATTTATTTGATATTATTTTTTCAATTTTAAAATATTGTTAGGGTAAACTAAATTATTTTTAAAATATATATTTTTTCAAATTTAAAATATCATAATCTTAATTATACGGGATAAAAATGATGATACTTACTAAATTAGTTTATCTTTGAAAATATATTGAAATGATCATTTTAAAATTGTACAAGATAAAAATGTTGATAATTATCATATTAATATTTTTAAAAGTTTAATGATAATTACATGGATAATTATAATTATAATTAAAATATTTGAAATCTTATGAGATAAAAATATCGGTAATTATAGTTTTTAATAAATATATACTTGATCTGTATAAGATAATATTTTTAAATTTAATATCCGATTGTTTAGTCACTAATGTTTCAAAAATTATAAAATGATCATTATATTTATCAAAATATCATATAATAGTTACTGTGTATTATAAAATAGAAAAAGTTTAATAAATCTAATGATTATTTTATAATAGTTTAATAAGTTTAATGGTATTTTATTTTTGATAAAATCTAATGATTATTTTATAACTATTTAAAAAGCTAAATGACCATTATATAAATTTTGAAATTTTATTGACCAAATAGATCATTTTAAAATATTTTAGTGAAAATTTGTGTACTCTATGCAAATATCTTTTGGTGTTATAAAGTGATAAATTGGATATTTTGGGGCCATTTCAACAATAACCCCAAAACACTTAATTGAAAACGACAGATCTGATGGCAGAAGCACAGTCTCAAGTAGTAACCCTATTATTATAAATAATTAAAAGAAAAAAACCCAGAAAACAGAAAGAAGAAGAGAAAAAGAAAGGAAAAACGTGTTTTTTTTTTCTTCGAAAAAGAAAGAAGAATGAAACTAAAATCTTTTTTTATGTCGTCACCATCTACAGTTCCTCCAACGGAAGAGGAAAAAGACGGCTCAATTCAACAGTCAAACCCGCAACCACAAGACGTGGCTGCTTCTTCCTCCGCCATGACTCCTCCTTTCTGGTTCACTCCCAGACGGTGAATTTTCGTTAACTTTTCGAACACTTGGTTGTTAAGCGGTTTTTTCCGCAGATTATGCTTTAATTTAACTTCATTTTCTTTTCCTGAACTGTAATTGGGTATAAAGTTAAGTGAAAGATAGATTTTTTTTTCTAAAGTCGGTTTCTTTTTAGATAAAGATGGTATTTCTTTACTACTTTTTGCTCTTTTTTTTTGTAGGTTATTGATTATATTTTGTGTGGTTAATATGATAAATTATTTGGATCGAGGAACCATAGCTAGCAATGGTGTTAATGGGAAGAGGAGGACTTGTGATGACAAAGGAATTTGCAAATCTGCTTCTGGAATTCAGTATGATTTTACTGGAAATGTTTCGATTTTGCTGTGGAAATTCGGATGTCGTACAATGTTTCTTATTATTTTTAGTTGTCTACTTAAAAAGATGTTTCTTGCAGGGAGATTTTGACTTAACTAATTTTCAAGATGGTCTCTTGTCGTCTGCATTCATGGTTGGACTTCTAGTGTCGTCCCCAGTATTTGCTTCCTTAGCAAAGAGGTAAATTTGCTTTTATGTGTTTCCCTTTTTAAATTTTCTAAATCTAAACTTCTTTAATTTAGCATTTTGACATTAGCTGTTTAGCACTGTTATGTTAAATGCTAAATAGAATCAGTATTAATTTCAAGGTTCATTGCTTTAATTGTTGCAGGATATTTGACAGTTTTTACATGTTAATTTGGTTTATAATGTTAGTTGATTTCTATGACTGCAGCCACAACCCTTTTAGGCTTATCGGAGTTGGATTATCTGTTTTTACCTTGGCTACTGCTGGATGTGGTGCTGCACCTACCTTTTGGTTTATTGCAATATGCCGGATGTAAGTTAACAATTTCAATACTCTTTGAGAATTGGTTTTAGTGTTGCTTCCTTTTGCTTCAATTTGTTCTTAAAAAATTGTGGCTGGATTTTGATGTTTAAGGCTGGTTGGCGTTGGAGAAGCTTCTTTCATAAGTCTTGCAGGTCCATTTATTGACGACAATGCTCCTATATCTCAGGTCTTGTTCCTAACTTTGAAAACCTATCCTCTCGCGTACACTACACTATCAATCATGCTAATTCTCTATCATACTCCAGAGAACTGCCTGGCTTGCAACATTTTATATGTGCATACCCACTGGAATTGCTGTTGGATATGTTTATGGTGGACTGGTGAGTTTGTATATCCCTTTTGTTCTTTCTCACTTTATTTTCCGTATTGTTCTTACTGTCCAGATACGTCTGATGGAGAATTAATCAAAAATGTTTTTACTTAGGTTGGGGAACATCTTAACTGGCGCTATGCATTCTGGGGAGAGGCACTGTTAATGTTACCATTTGCTGTTTTTGGCTTTGTAGTGAAGCCATTGCAGTTGAAAGGTAACCTTTCTGGCTTGTTTGCACTCCAGAGTTTGTTATTTTATTATCTCACAACATTTTAAATATTAAACATCTTTGAACTTTGAATCGTAGGTTTTTCTTGTGTTGAATCAAAAAATGAATCAACTCCTGTGGAGACAGTTTCTGCTGTAACTGATGGTACTCACTATTTATTCTTCTTCTTCTTCTTTGATTTGTTGTTGGTCCATTATTTAATGAGAAGTCACTTTCAGTTATCACATGGGTGGAGCCAGGAAATCTATAGTACGGTGTCATTTATTTTTAGAGTGGTGTCAATATTATTTTAAAGGGGTGTCAATTTTATTATTAAATTTACAAAATATTTTTCTTTAAAAAATAATTTGGGGTGTAAATTTCATCAAATGGAAACGTCCTTGGGCCTTGAGTTACCTGGTGCGATGCACCTGTTATGTATATATGCATGTCCTAAGTAGAAGGTTTAAATAAGGCTAGACAGAATATAAAGGAAGTGTTAGATCTTTGGCATAGCACCTAATAGAACTAGATTTTATCATAATCAGACAAAAATAAAATGTCAAGAGAGAGAAAGAGAGACGTGTTCTGACCTAAGTTAGATGATTTGTTAATCTTTCCTCTGTTTTCATTACCCAAATATTTTACCTAAAAAGTGGTTCAATGTGTCTCTAGTCGTGTAGCCAAAAAATGTTAGTAATGAAAAGTTCTTTTATGATGCCAATTCCTGTTCTATGCAGTGAAACAAGGATCACAATCCAAGGTCATCTTTATTCTCTATTATTCTCTGAATGTTCTGTACAAGTTTTGTGAAGCTTTAATCCTTCATTTTCTTTTGTTCTGCATACAAAAGTTACTAATCCATTGACATCTAGTTTGTCCATACTCCTATTCCAGCACCTCTGGTTTGTTGTTCCAGTGGAATGACCCCCGTGTCCAAATAGTTTGACCAGATTAGTGAATGTCTAATCTGTGTTTTCAGTTTGATAATTACTAGGGATTTTTCATTCAATATGTTGGTTAAGCTTCTTGTTAACTGAAATCAAGCAGGATCGATTTGATTTTGATTGAAACCGAGACAAAACTGTTGTTATAAAAACATGCATTACATGACTAAAAACACACACACATATATATGTTTGTATATATGTAAATGTATCAGTTTTCCTTTTCTCTAGTTTGGAGACGAAAAAAATCTAATAAAAGCAAAGGAAAATGATTCATAAATTTGTTTCCTGTAATAAGCTGACCTGCTTTCAAGTAAAGTGCCTTATTTGTAGCACTCTTGGGTTCCAAGTCTAATCTATCCTAGCTGCAGGTCCAAATGCATCAATTGCGAAGGGCCCTGTTTTGGTTGGAGGTGATGGTATCAGTGCTGATGAATTGAATAAAACATTCAAGTGAGTAGGTCTTCAAACCATGGCTTTAATTAAATCTCTTGTGACTTTATTTGTGTCACTGATCCTTATGATGAAGCAAACTGCTTCAAAACAATATTACTTATTCTTTGCAAATAGAAATTCTATTAAAGGGAACTGAGAGGAGACATCAGAAAAGAAAGATTTAAAAGGGTCATTGGATTCTTGTTGCATTAAGAGTGTTGGTCACACTGGAATCACCACCCTTTTACATAATGTACTTGTTTATAAAAAGGTTGAAAACTGAAACAATTTTGCCTTATTAAGGTCTAAACTAAGATTTTAATTTTCAGGCGCATAAAAACTTTTTCTATGTACTTTAATATTTGTGATTCATTCCGCTCCATATCCTGATTGTTTTTGTTTTTTGGACAGATCAGTAGTAGTAGACAACATTTTGAATCGGTTATCTCAGTTTTGGAAAGACATGAAAGTGCTTTTGGTGGACAAAGTTTATATTGTAAATGTTTTAGGTATATTCTTGACCCTTTTCAGATCTAGACTAGTAATGCTTTGAATAAAAAAAATAGTATACCGATATAATGATATGAGTTTTTCATTTTCTTCCACAATATTGCTTATTGACTTATTTTTCTCATCAAACTCCTTGTTATATGCTTGTGTTTATGACTTATGGTATTACTTCCAGGTTATGTAGCATACACTTTTGTCCTTGGAGCATACTCATATTGGGGGCCAAAGGCTGGTTATAATATTTATCATATGGTATAGTCTTGCCAAGTTACATTCATTCTTTGGTTATTGAAACCCTTTCCTTTCAGAACTTTCTTTTTGACATCACAGAATCATAATCAGCCCCCCTTTTGGTGCTGTAATCGTATAAATCATGATTTTTGCAGAAGAGTGCAGATATGTTGTTTGGAGGTATTACAGTTGTTTGTGGGATTTTGGGAACAATAGCTGGTGGCTTCATCCTAGATCGCATGGGTTCTACAATAAATCATGCTTTTATCGTAAGTGTTGTTTCTTCAGTAATGTTTAATGTGAAGGGTTTTGTTTTACACGCTTACTGGAACTGGAAAAATTATTCACCATGTTTTGAAAGGAAAATATGCTGAGATAAAGTAGAGAGAGATTTACAGAGAAACCATAAGTTCCATTCCTTTTTTTTCCCGTTTTTGCTTAATACACCTTTCACGTGCTTAAGGAAAAGATGGATGTAGGATTGTTACTCCTGCTATTAGTTCTCTAAATTGAAACAAATAAAGAGAAATCCAAACCCACTGCAAAAGACTAGTAATTTGATAGCATGTTAACCAGCGAACACATTTATTTGCTTTTTTTTTTTGGCAATATATATGGCTTAGTTTGCTTCTGTAATAGCTTCTTTCAGGTGCAACATTTCTGGGTGGAATAGCTTGCTTCTCTGCTTTCTGTCTCAGGAGTTTGTATGGTTTCCTGGTACTCTTTGTTGTGGGCGAATTACTTCTTTTTGCAGCACAGGTAAAACCAAAATGGAGTGTGTTGAGATTTGTGATCTTGTTTTTCCCAATGTATTATGTATTGTATTAGTAGGAACTCTCTCTCTTCCTTTTTTTGGTTATATTTATTCGATAAAAGGTTTAGAGGAAGATATGGTTAGACGTTGTGCCATGAGTTTCACCCACTTTTTTCAGAATTTCGATGGTTTATAGAAATCAGACCTTATTCTCATTTTTTTTTCGTTTTGATAATAGAAAGAATTTTTCTGCTGCACATTTGTCCCTGTAGTGGATACATTGACACTGAGCAATATTTGCTATTTTGGACTAGTATTATCATGAATATTTAACCAGTAATGCTGTTTACTAGTCACCTTCTCACCAAAAATTGGTTTTGCAGGCTCCAGTCAATTTCATTTGTCTCCATTGTGTCAAACCGAGTTTGAGGCCATTGTCTATGGCAATGTCTACTGTCGCAATTCATGTATTTGGCGATGTGCCTTCATCACCACTTTTTGGGGTTGTCCAGGTGCAGTTATTTACATTTTTGTATGGTGATGTCAACTTTATCTATTTTCACCGGAGTTCAAAGATTTGTGGCATCATTATGACTGGTGATATTTTGAGCAGGATCATATTAACAATTGGAGGAAAACTTCACTTATGTTGACTTCTATCTTCTTTCTTTCTGCTGGATTCTGGTTTATAGGTCAGTAGTAATAAGTCTTTCCTTTTACATTTTTAATATAGTGAATCACCATTTTAGAGAACTATTCATAATATGTTCCCTTTGTTCCTGGATTAAGAGTAGCTGTCCATATGCTATAAAGAGTTTAGGGTAAAAAATTCTTTGATTCTTATGCTGTAGTGAATCCAGATGCACAGATTTTAATTAGGAATTTTTATTATTATTGTTGTTGTTGTTGGACAGGTGTTTTCCTGCCTAGTTTCGACAAGTGTAATGATGAAAGTGAAAGTCAAGTCTCTCCAAACCCATTGGCCAATAAGCCATTGCCTGGTGGAAACGGAGATAAGGGTTCTGGTGAAGTCTAAGGCTTTAAGTTCCGACCTCCATGCTAATAACACTCGCACTTCTTTGTTTCGTTGCAATGTTCCCCCTCAGTGATTAGAAGTTCCCAAATTTACATGTGTTGCTTCGTTTCCTATCAAAAAAAAAAAAACGTGTTGCTTCGTCTGTGAAAATCAGAAGTGGGAACAAAAAGACACAAATTCGGTGCCATTCTTCAAAGTATTGTCCCAGTCTACATCGGTAAATGTTGAGTTTTCCATCAAGGAGTATGTGAAGATAAGTTTCGGTGGGCCCGAGGAAGATGGCATTATATTTTGAGGTATTTTGCTGTTAAATTTACATTTTTTGACCTTCAGCTTTGGACTTGATCATTTGTAGATAATGTCAACAATACAATGGATAAATGCTAAATAGGTTCATCAGCGCAAGTGAATTCACTACTATTTTTTTCCTGTAAAATATTTTCGTTCTTTTGCTATCTTCTGATTGTTTTCAGATAGATATATTTTGAATCCATTATCGACTTTACCTTGTGTGTGTGTGTGTGTGACTTCAAAGTTTTATAGACTTTGATTACTACCTAATCTAAGATGGGTAGTCTAGTCTTGTTTAAGCAACTTAGGCTCATGAACATGCGCACATGATTAAGCTTGCAAAACAAGGGCTTTCCCTTTCTATTTCCCTTTTTTATTAGAACTTAATTCAATATATATATAGCTAAAATAATTCATTTGATAACTAGGCACAACGTATCACGAAATTGAAAATTCAATCTTAAACTAAGGGGTAAATTACATGTTTAGTACCTCAACTATCACTTTTGTTTCATTTTGGTCGCTCAACTATTTTTTGTTTTAAAATCACACCTAACGTTTAATCTTGGTTTTCATTTTGGTCATCTATGGTTAAAAAAATAATAGAGTTGATTTTTTTCAATGATGATTTCGTCACGGCCGTCTTTTGGTTTGGGCTTAGAATTAGGCTTCGACTTGAAATAATGGGTTAGAGTCATCATCGATCATTTTAAAAATATTTAGGTGGATCAGATACCATCTTACATGATTTGCGTTTTACCATAAATGTGTCGGGTTCGGGAGTCGGTTACGGTCAAGGAAGGATTAGCACTCTTGAACCGTCCTTTTGATACCAATCAATTTGTCGGTTGTCTTAATTGCGAAAAATTTAAATTTTAAAATTAAAATTTAGAACATTCGATTCGAATTACTTACCTTTGATTGGTTGGAGTTTTCTTAAAAAAAAGGTCGAAAAGGTTTGATAAAGAAAAAATAATAAGTAAATATTAAGTATAAAAACATAAAAAAATTAATAAAATTAACTAAAATAACAAATCAAAGGATGAAAAAAAAGAATATAAATAAAATAAAATAATATAAATCAAATAAAAATTAAAAAAAATATTAAATAAATAAAACAAAAGTAAAAAATAGAATAAATTTAAGGGAAATAAGATGAAAAATAAGATAAAATACAAAAAATAAAAAAGGGAATAATAATAATAATAATAATAATAATAATAATAACAAAAAAAATAAAATAAAACAATATGAAGAGAAAAAATAATTTAAAAATAAAAATAAGAAAAATGTTAAAATAGAAAAACTAGTAAAAAAAGAAAGAAAACAGAAATGAAATAAAAAGTTAAAAAATAATAATAATAAAATATGGGTTGAAGCTGATTGGTGCTTCTTGTTTGCTGATTCGGGTGTTTTTCTTTGTAAATTTGTTCCTTCGTTATGGATTTGAAGAATTCTGAACTAGATTGGAGGAAGCTCTTTCGTGGTTTGCTGGAACAAGCCCTTGAATTCTTTCCATCTGAAGTCTTGGAGGGAATCTCTATTGTCAAGCCTCCGGCTACTATTATTGAGGAGGGGATCGCTGAGTGGAGCTGTGCGGTGGTGGGCCAATTTATTGGAGCTGCTCCTAACTTTGGATCCATGTAGAGAATTGCAGAGGTTCTTTGGGGGAAGTTTTCGTCGGTCAAGGTTAGTTTGGTTTGATCCAATCTTTATGTTTTTTCATTTTCTAATGCTGAGATGAGGGACTGGGTCTTGGAGAATGGCCTGTGGCACATTCAAAATAAATCCCTAGTTTTAAGGAAATGGGAATCGAATTTGCAGAGATTGGATTTTGACCTTAAGCATGTTCCGGTCTGGATTCAGTTATATAATATCCCTCTTGAGCTTTTTTCCAGAAATGGTCTTAGTTACATTGCTAGCGCAGTTGGAATTCCTCTTTACATGGATTCTGTTACTGCCTCGAAGGAGAGACTGGAGTTCGCTAAGGTTTGTGTGGAGATTGAGGCGGGGGCTATAATCCCTGATGTGGTTAATGTAGTATTGAAGGATAATTCTTCAGTGAAAGTTAGAGTTCATGCTCCTTGGTTGCCCAAATTCTATTCGCATTGCAAAATCTTTGGGCACCAAGATAATGTTTGTGTTGAGAGCGTTAAAGCTCCTGTGAAAAACAAGGAAGTTCAGATATGGATGAGGAAAGTGAGCTCTAACATCCTTGAGGCCCCGAGGGGAGGGAAACTGGATAGCATTATCACTACAGTAGAGAATTCTTCTGCTTGTGCTGGTAATCATAAGAGTAGCCCTGCTAAGGAGGGATCTTTACCTCTGTCTGGTCTGAAGGTTAGTAATGCAGAGGAGGTGACTATACATGATCTTCAAGAAAATAATAATGACACTATGCATGTGTTAGCTAGCTCTGATGTGAGTCATTCTCATGCCCCTGATAAGTGTGACCCTGCTGGTTATGAAGGTAAGATTTTAAAGCAGCTTGAAGCCAATGTTAGTGTTGATCAGGAAATTGTTGTAGTAGGTAAAGCTACCTCTGAACCCTTGGGTAATACTGGCTGTGATGGGGAATTCCCCTCATTGCAAGATTCTTTGCTTCAGAAGAAGAAAGTTCAGGGGAAAAGAAAGGAAAATGATGGATCTTATAGCAAATTGGAGCTTCTTGCTGGGGGAGGTGCTATTGAGGGTGCTAGGAAGGCTAGAGTTGCCTCCTTGGGGGTAGTAATGCTTCTCAATGATATTAAAGTAAAGAAGAAAGATCATTTGGAGAGAATTAAAGGTGCAGGGGTTTGTAATGCTGCTAAGGGTGTTGACCCTCCTATCTCTAACTGATGATTTTTAGTTTTTGGAATGTTAGAGGGCTTAATAGTGGGCCCAAGCAAAGTATATTATTTAGTAGATTGGAGGGGTTAGGTGTGGATGTGATTTGCTTAATGGAAACTAGAGTTAGAAGTGGTAATTTCATAAGGATTGCTAATTCTTTGGCTGTTGATTGGGATTTTGCTAATAATTATGAACATTCTGAGGGTGGTAGGCTTTGGATTCTGTGGAAAAAATGCCTTTCCTTCTCTGTGCTTAAGGGATGTGATCAGGCCCTATCTGTTGTAGGTGATGTGGTTGGAAAGAGAGTTGTTGTTACTGCTGTTTATGGAAGTAACAATAGTCAGACCAGGAGAGGTTTGTGGGAGCATCTAAGGCATCTGAAAGCTGATATTGGTTCTGCCTCCTGGCTGATTGGGGGTGATTTCAACACTTTTATCAGTGCTGAAGAGAGTTTAGATTTTGATGTTTTGGGGTTGCACAGTACCTCTGATATGGTGGAATTCAATGATTGTCTGGTGGATTTGGAAATACATGATCATCCATATACATGTCCTCTCTTTACCTGGTCTAACAAGCAAGAAAGTAACTTCTTGGCTAGGAAGTTGGATAGAGTTTTAATTAACTCTCAATGGTTGTTAGAGTTTCCTGACTCAGCTGTGGAATTTAAAGCTCAAGGGCCTTCTGACCATTGCTTGGGGACTGTTTGGACTCAGAAAAGTGCTCAGGTGAACAAGCCTAAGCCATTCAAGTTTTTTAATTGTTGGACTGCTAATGAGGATTTCTTGAGGGTTGTTAAAGACTCTTGGCAAGGATACTGTGTGGGGGATCCTATGTTGGTTTTGTTTACTAAGCTGAAACGTTTGAAGCCACTGTTAAAAGACCTCAATAGAAGATCCTTCTCTGATATTGCTGGCAGAGTAGTTGCTAAGAGAGCCGAGCTTGAAACTGTTCAAATTCTTAACCTTGATCAGGTGGATCAAAGAAGACTGGATGAGGAAAAGAAGATCTAGGCAGAATTATTAGCCCTTGAAACTGCAGAATCTGATTTCTACAGGCAGAGAGCTAAAGTTCATTGGCTGCAGGAGGGGGACTTGAACACTAAGTTTTTTCATCAGAGAGTAGATTTGAACAAGAAAAGAAACACTATCAAAGTCATTAAAGATGAGAAGGATATATCATGAAACTTTTGAGGATATGGCAGCTGAGCTGGAATATTTTTTCAAAAGCCTCATAGGTACTTCTGATCCTATGGTGAAGAGCTGTCCTACTGACTGGTTAAAGTCTGTTCTAAATTACTCTTTACCTGTTGGGGCTGAGGAGATCCTAGTTGGAGGAATTAATGATGTTGAAATCAAAGATGCTCTGTTCAGGCAGGGGAAAAATAAGAGCCCTAGACCGGATGGTTATACCTCATGGTTCTTCAAGGTCACCTGGGAGATAGTTGGCAAGGATTTTATGGGGGCTGTAAGGTATTTATTCCAATCTTCCTCCCTTTTACCTGCTTTTAATGCCACCTCAATTGTCTTAGTGCCTAAATCCCCTAATGCATGTATGGCCAAGGATTTTAGGCCCATTTCTTGTTGTTCTATGATTTATAAGACAATCACTAGGATCCTGGTCACTAGATTAACTCTGTTCTTTCCTGGTATGATCTCCCCTAATCAATCAGCTTTTGTTAAGGGTAGGAACATTGCTGACAATACCTTATTGGCTCAAGAAGTAGTTAGGGGATATTCTAGGAAGAACCTTTCTCCTAGATGCACAATTAAGATTGATTTGCAGAAGACTTTTGATTCAATCTGTTGGGGCTTCTTGATGAATGTTCTTGAAGCTTTGGGGTTGCTTGAGGTGTTTTATGGTTGGATTAAAGCTTGTATTACTACCCCCAGATTCTCTATTTCTTTGAATGGTAGTTTGGTGGGGTATTTTAAAGGGGTTAGGTAGGGTGATCCCTTATCCCCTTATCTTTTTG